TAAAAACCATAACCGCCACCAAACCCCCCATAGCCACCTCCACTGTAACCACCATAATCTCCAAATCTACTGCCAAACAAGAGAATGAACATGACAAAGAGATAAACAAATCTCTCATTGAATTGCTTTCTTGATTTGCTTGATAGCAGAATGAGAGCTAGAATGGGTTTGAGGAAATAATGGGAGAATGGAAAACTCAATGTAGAGGAGAGGACTGAGGAGATCATTAATGATATTTTTCTTGTAGTTTATGTTAGTTGGTAGAGGTGAGTGCGACTTAAGAATGGAAACTAAGGCTGTGATGGGTTGTTAATGAAAGTGAAGATGATAGTTGATGGGACAAAATGCTATTTACCTTTGTTTTTGCAATGTTGAAGTTACCTTACAGGGCAGAGCTTTTGGGCGGATATAGTGGATTTGGATAGAGCTTTTGGTCCTAGCGGTCTGTTTTTCACCGGCGATGGAACTGTTTTTCAAGTGTGGAAATAGACAGAACCAGTTGCCATATCATGATGCCTTGCAGCATTTTATAACATATTCATCAATATGTATTTTTGGTGTTATTATTTTATTTTGTTCTTCCTTCCAGGGAGGTTTTTCGGTTCACAGGAGAAATCGTGGTTCGGAGAAAACAATTATACGTTCCTGGTTGAATGTTTAGTAGCACTGAGACACTTCACCTTAAAGTGTGCCATAAAGTTCATAGAAATAACACACAACATGCAGCTGTGTGATCGCTGATGATTCCGTTTTTTTGTTAATGGGTTAACGACGAATGTACCATAACTGAATGAATCAATAACTTAAAAGATTAAAATCATTCTTTTTTTAACTGGTGACAAAAATCAGACAGATAAAAAAAATATAGGGACCATCAGTAAATTTTACCCTTTTATTAATGTATTAATTTATTTTTTATAGGGACCATCAGTAAATTTTACCCTTTTATTAATGTATTAATTTATTTTTTTATTACTTTAAAATAATTAAAGGGTAAAGTATAGTAATGGTCACTGAACTTTTCTAAACCTTTCATTTAGGTCCCCCAACTTTTAAAACTTGCAGTACAATCCCCCAATATTTAGTCCATTTGCAATATGGTCCCCTAACAGTTACATCGAGGACCATATTACAAACGAACTAAATGTTGAGGGACCATATTGAAAACGGACTAAATGTTGGGGGGATTATATTGTAAGTTTTAAAAGTTGAGGGGCCTAAATGAAAGATTTAGAAAAGTTAAGTGACCATTACAATACTTTACTATTATTATTATTATTACTTAACCTAAGACAACTAAACTATACCTAAACCACTAAATTAGCACCAAATCAAACCAAATACTCACTCAAATCTCACTTAGATCACTAAAACAATATAAAAATCAAGCCCAACTCTACCACTACCCTTTACCACCACCATGAGGCAATTGGAAAAATTATAAATAGGAGGGTGCAGCCATTCGTTGAGGGGAGGATGAAAAAATAAATTGGGAGACAGATCTGGGTTTAAGGGCTAATAGCAACTTTGGTCCTCATAGCTCTGTAATCTCACATGCATGTTCTTCAATGTTTGGGGTAAATCACAGTTTGGTCCATGCCCTCATAATATCACCGTGTGTACACCATGCATATAATGAAATTATTTTCTCTTGATTCGATCCTCGATTTTTTCTTGTATTTCATTTTAGTCACTAATTATTAGTTTTGCCTTATTTTTATTTATTTACTTTTGAGATGAGTATTTGAAATATTTTCATTTTTAGTCATTATAATTTACGTTTTGACCTGGCTTTTTATAATGTTTGCATTACGATCCATTAGTATTTCTTTTATATATTACTTTCGTATGAATATATATATAATGTCTTATATCACACAAATATGGGTGCTACTTGTATGTATTAATGTTATGTGCAGTATACTTTATATAGATATATATTATTTTATGTGTAATATTATATGTGCTTAGTATAATCATTGTTGCGCATTTTATGTATATATGTGTAGACATTTATTTTCGTTCGGTGTTTTTTTATGTAGCATAATTTTTAATATAGCTTTTGAAAATATATAGTATATAGTTTTTAAAATAATTTTGAAAACATATAATTATGGTTTATTTTATAATTAATGTTTAGCCCTTTTAGTTTTTATTAATATTATTTTAGTCTCTTAAGTTCACATTTTTTTTGTTTGAGTTCTTTAAAGGATTGTTTTGTTATTTTAATATTTCAAACCCTTGTTTTTGTTGTTTGGTACTTTAAATTTATGATTTTGCTATTTTAATCTTTTAAGTTCATGTTTTTAAGATTTCTTGTGTTAAAGGATTTTCTCTAATTAATTAATTCGAAGCAAATTAATCAATGTTCAATAAATGGATCATATTTTAACTTGATATTTGATTCAGGATTTCCACTATTACGACAATGAGTAAGCGACAGAGTACCAATTTTGGGCGTTGTGGGGTGCTAATCATTCCCCACGCGTAACCGACTCCCGAACCCGTTTTAATCGAATCTTTGGTAAACGCATACTAACTTTTGTCTTAAAAAAATGATTTTTATTAAAATTGTTTTTTAAAAGGCATTTTTAGGTATTCGACCTACCTAACCCAAAGGTCGATGGCGACTCTTTTCAATTTTATCCAATTTAATTCAAAATCACCATTTTCCAAAATTAAAATCATAATTCTTTTTAAAACAATAAAATAATTGTTCCACCTTAAAAAACGGTTATGACAACTTGGCAACTCCACTGGGGATTTTTTTTAGAGTTAGGTTGTAACTCGCTTACACATTGTCGTTTGGTGGAAATTATGAGTTCGAGTCTTTAGTTAACTTATGATCCTTTTATTGAAGTTTTTAATTGCTTCATTTTATTATTGTCTTACTAACATTTTTATCTTTGTTTTCAGCTCAGTTCAAGTTTTTGTTGAGTTGTTTTGTTTTCCTCTTGAGTCAAAGGTTTGAATGTTCATCTTTACACACGTCATGTGCATTTGCATAACATGAGCTCTAGACCCGAACTTTGATCCAAATTAGTCGAGGTGAATGCTTTACTCTCGTAAGAATTTATTCTTCGTATGAGTTTTAGCAATTAACTCATGGGTATAAGGTAGTGAATCCCCTCGAATTGAAATCGTTCTGTTCGAAACCTGTAATGGGTGAGGATTGAGGGTTTGGCAGCCCAAGGAGGCACCGACATCAAGGACAATTCAAGTACCTTTTTCCTCATAGAGCCATAACCATGCATATTAACCGTAGAACGATCACCCTAGGTATAGACATACCAAACCTCTGTTTTTCAGTAGGTACCCAAATTAAGTGTACACAAAGGAAAAGTGTTTTTGAACCTTTCATTTTGCTTTAAATTTTGTTATTCAATAGCATGCGAACTAGATATCATGCGGTTAAGATTAATTTCTTGAAAAATCATTTTGGGTAGAAATCATGTCCGGGTAGGAATGTTATTTAATTAAAGCATGTTCGGGTAGATATCATGATTGGGTAGGTGTTTTATTCATCTTTGAATAACATTTTTATCTGTATCGATTATCTTACCTGTACAAACTAATTTCTTTTCTTTTGTTTGTGTACACTAACTTATTTCTTTTATTTTGTTTGTGTCATTTTTCATCTTTATTTGCATTGCATCAACATAACATAATGCAAAAGTGTTGATTCGCAAGGGGATATTCAAGTGGAAATTTTGCACAAGAAGAGATAAAAAAATTTCAATAAAACAGTCGCTTACACAGACATGCGCTGAGGGCTAAGAGAAGTCCAGAGTACCAGAATGAGACTTGTTCGAAGATCATGAAACATTTGAGATTGAAAAGTTTATCATTTGATCTAAGAAGTAATCCAACAGTAGATTCTTATCTACGATTATCTCATAACTAGTCATGAAGTGACGCATTAACTTCAACATCACCGAAGCATTAATGGAGTTAGTTTACAGAGCATTGAGGGGCATCAGTTCCAAATATGAAGATCCAAGAAAAAATAGTGAGCTTAAAGATTGTGCAATATTCGAGACTGAAATGACGATCCACTGATCCAATGAGTAATCCAACAATAGATTATTATCTATGATCATTTCATCGTTAACTATCAATGAGTAATGCACTTCAGTACTGCCGGGGCATTAATAGAGTTAGGTTACAAAGCGCTTGAGGGACATCATTTTCAAGGACGAAGATCCAAGATGAAGTGGTGACCTACTTCAAACTCAACATCTAAGCGAAAGCATGTCTGTAAAGTGCACTGTGTTATAATGTGAAAGCTTTTATTTCTGGTGAAAATTATTCTAAGATATTCATCGTTGGGATTAACATTTTTGCATCTGTATTTGCATTTGTATTTGCATCATTGCATTTTGCATAATATTCATTTAAACATTTTTATATGCATTAATCGTACTTTGTGGGGACTTTGAGGAAGTGTTTTTAATGGTAACTGCATTCACATATTACTAAAGATGGTAGCAAAATTTGAGCAACTGAAGAAAGAACTGGAAGATAATTTATGAAAGATGCAAACAGAGTGGGAATCCAAAATAGAGCAGGTTCAAAAGACCACCATGGATCGTATCTTGCAAAACCAAGATGACCTGATTAATCAAATTGTAACAAAGCTTAATAGACATAACGAAGAAAGATGCAAAGAGAAAATTTACTTGATCCTAGAAGCCTCTGAATGTGTAATGGCACATGATGCTAATCCACGAAGATTTGTTTCGCCCGAAAAACTTCCAAGTCACCAAGTAGACTTCTCTACTAGTAAAACTCAAGACACTGTGTTAAATCCTCGGGATAATTCTACTGATCATAACATATCCGCTCCTGATGAGATGAAAAGATCTATGAAGAAGATTTCAGCATGTGTTAATGGAATCGAAAAACTCCAAGAGCAACTTGTCAAGATTCAACAAGAAATGAATGATCAAGCAAAGAAATTTCAGGATGAGTCAAGGGAGTAGATGTCTAAATTAATGCACATGATTCATGGAGAGAAGCCACTAGAGGATCCTACTATAGAGGCTTTCAATGAGACTTTGAATGTTGCTTGTGCAACCAATATGGTGACATTAGATAATCTAGAACATGATGAGGAATATGGTAATCCAAGTCAATTTCAACAATTGGGTGTAATTCTAAAAAGTGTGACAGAGATCAAGCTAGGAAAAGCTACGATTGAGGGTGAAACTTTTAACATGAAAGTTGAGTCTGATTCAAAGAAGAGAGGCATAAAAGAAGTTCAAATGCTAGTCAAGAAGGCTAAAAAGAACAAGAAGAAAAAGAAGATACCTCTCATTCAGATTCCAATGTCATATTCAGAATTGTTACCATTTCTCTTTGAAAGTGGCCTTCTAACACATATTCCTCCAAAGTCTAATACTTACTGGCGTCCAGATTGGAAAGGTGTTAAAAATTCATGCAGTTATCATCTTGGAGATTTTAGTCACTCTACAGAAAGTTGTGTGGCTATGAGATTAAAGGTTCAAAACCTCATCGCAGAAGGATTATTATGCTTTAAATATGGAAAACCTAAACTTCCCAGAGACTGAAAACTTATCAATGAGGGGAAATTTGTAAACCAATGTTTCCTACAAGACGTTTATCCAAAGTTGAACCTTCAAAATAAATATCTCAATGATCATTCACTAAGTTTTCAGAGTGGTCATAATAGTGGCAAAGAAAAAAATGAAGTCTCCACTCAGTTTTCCTTCATCTTCATGCAACAAAATATATTCCAAGTTGCTCGAGGCCTAATTGATTACTCCACGTTTGGCTAAGCTGTTGTTACCACCTTATCTGAGTTAGTATAATGAGAAAGTTTCTTGTGAATATCATGCTAGAGCTCGAGGATATTCCATCAAGAATTGTGGTCAATTCAAATGATAAGTCGAAGATTTTTTTGGCTCATGGAGTTATAGAGGTGGACATCAACAATCAATTAATTTTATTCAAACAATTGAGAGTTGGACCCCAGAATGAAATTGATAAGGTCAAAATAAATGAAGTGCATATAGAAGAATACCTGAAGAAAGTAAAGATCAAAATTCATGAGAGTAAGATATGTGGGGTAAATTTAAAGGATTAAACTTTCGAGACTTCTTCGATGCTGAAAAAGGAGAATAAAATAGGGAATGATGAGAAAGGAATTAAAAAAGAAGTAATTTGAGACTGGCCTCAAAAGATGTCTTGAAAAACACGGCCCTCAAGGTTTTTCTGGTGCCCATTTCTGACCTGTTATCCCCTTTAATCAAGAATCGATATCGCACCCCAAGGTCTTTGAGAATGAAGACTAGCCCTTCTGCTTATGGCTATAACCTGAATAGTGCTTACGATTTTTATCTGGGGGCATTGGGTCATCCTACTGACAAGTACATACCATTAATGGAGGAGATAGAAAAGTTCATTGACAAGGGAGTCCTAACACGAGAAATGATTGAAAAATGGGGATCAAATAGGGGTTAAAGACCTTAATCCAATTGGAAACCCAACATTCAATGTGTAATGGGGGTATTCTGATCAGGAGTCGGTTGGGGCATCCATCGGGAGTTCTGGTTGCATTCTTATGCATGTCATCTTGTTTAAACTTGTTTTTCTTTTGTATTTTTTATGTGTGAATGTTTGTAAGTCATTTGACGTTCAAACATTTTAAATAAAATGCTTCATTATTAGGAAATGAACAATGAGCAAATTTAAATCTTGAAATTATTTTGAATATCACTTTAATTAAAAGCTTTTTAATAATTGAGGTTATAAATCTTTGGCAAATGACAAGATTCCCCTGTAAAACAAGGACCCATTGATCCTACTCCAGAGATACACCAAAATATGTACCCTTATTTTGTAAGGACTAAATTAGTTTTCTCTTCACATGAAGAGTCCATCAAGGATTTGACATTCATGTATGTGTTAGGAGCGAACAAAATGGGGCAACTAGCACATAAAATTAAGTGATTTTAGTTTAGGTCAATTGCTTGGGAATTGAACTCTAACGATGAGATTTTTTTACCATCAACAAATACCTAGACTATAATAGGTTCTCCTCTTACACAACAAATATATATATATATATAATATATGCAATAAAGCTGAGCTATTCCACTAAATCAATTGGTAATAGAGGAAACTCGAAAACCCTGGCTTTATGAATAGACTACATTCAAATCATGACATTGATTGGGTACCTGACAATTCAGTGTATGCTCCACTGTGATTGTCAAGTCGAATACTTTGTGGTGACATGAATCCTTCAGCTAGCCTGATAAAGGTGATTATAATATATATACAATAAAGCTTGATATATCCATCTAAAGCAATTTGTTAAACGCCCTGACTTTATGGATAAAATTCAGCTAGCCAGATAATAGCAAATTAAATCAAATTTATTAAATAAGGAGTTTCAGTAAAGATGGACAAAGGGAGTTGAGGAACACTTATTATAGCCAACTTCACACGAGCACTTAGAAATTTCATTTTTAGACCGATATTTCTGTACTACCTTGACTAGGTGAGTCTACGAAGCTTGAACAAATAAAATATTTTAGAGAACTTAAACAGAAGTGTTCTGAAAAGTCTAGCTATTGATTATGCTAGTTATGTCATTTTGTTTGTCTCCGATTAAAATGACAAACCAAGAAAGAGGGGAAAGCCATGACCGAATTGAGGAAACAAACCTTAAGATTTAGGTAGCCCGCCTCTAAACTAACTTTTCGATCTTGATATTTGTCAAAGATTTACAACTATCAAAGATTAAAAGAGCATTTGATTCTTTTGATATCCAATGAACTTCTGTTTTATGATTTGTTTTAATTGTGAAACCTGAAAAGATGCAACATTTTAAAAATTCCTTTTGATAATTTTCAAAATTTTGAAAAGAATATGGAAAACATTTTCAAACAAGATAAGTTCTCCGGAAGCATATCATGAAAATCAACGAATATCTCTCCGAAGCTCAAGATTGAAGCTGGGGTAAGAGAAGCTAAATTTTTAGGGCTAAATTTTTAGGGCAAAATTTGATGGAGAAAGAAAATAAATTGTCTCAGTTTGAGGTTTGCAAGAGTACACCCTAGTGGAAATAAAGACAAACTGAGTCAGGGATAGAATGAAGACTGCTCACACAACCATTCTCTTCAAAAAGCATCATTATATTTAAGGAGGTTGAAGAATCCAAGATCAAGAATCATAAATTGAAGATTTCAGAATCAAGAGTCATCAAGACTGATAACCAGAGATTGAGATTTCTCTCTAAGTCCTAAAATAACATATCTCGCATATACATTTTAGGCACAAATAAGAGCATTGTATCCATAACATCGCATATCTGTATAATTTTGCAGATTCATGCTAATAGTCAAGTTTCAACTTCAAGATAAAAGATACTTGATTCAAAAACACCTTCAAAAAAGATTGATGGTGGTTTCTTAATTCAACAGCGAGGAGTTATACCTCAACCAATTTGACCATTTGAAAGATCTTAGAATCAACTTCAGATGGGTTCGAGAGCCAATTCAGAATGGATCCAGTTCAGCTTAACTCAACGACGAGTGTCTAATTTTCAGTTAAAATTTCCAAGCCAGATTTCAATGTCAGTTGAATAACATATCACATGACTTTCCTGTGAAGGGGAGTCATCCAAAGATCATCTCATTTAGCTGAGACCCGCGAAGGGGAGTCGTCATTCACTTAAAAGAACTTTTCGCAACATAGGTCAAAACGAGAAGGGTTATCTGTCAATGAAAACTTTTTAGTTTGATTTCATTCAGCTCGATGCCATATCAATCGCATAGTAGCAACGAGAGACTACTTTCCTGTTGAAGTTTAAACTGAGGTCTTTAAGTCAAGAAGAAGATCTGGGTTGGTTATGATTTAGCAACAAGAAACTATATCGTAGTAAAATTTACAGCATAGCTTAAGGCGAGAAGGGCTATCTGTCAAACCTTCAAGTTTGATTTCATTCAGCTCAAGGGCATATCAAATTTTACAGCATAACTCAAGGCGAGAAGGATTATCTGTCAATGAACACTTTCGAGTTCAATTCCATTCAGCTTGATAACATATCAACTGCATGGCAGCATCAAATAACTACTTTTTGGTTGAAGTTTAAATTGAGGTCTTTAAATCAAGAAGAAGATCTGGGGCAATCTCTCAGCGTAGTACAACATAACTCAAGTCGAGGAGAGTTATCTGTTAATGAAAACTTTCGAGTTCGATTACATTCAGTTCGATGACATATCAACTACATATGGCAACGAGGAACTGTTTTTCAGTTGAACTTTAAACCATGGTCTTTAAGCCAAGAAGAAGACCAAGGTTGACTATGTCAAACTAGATTTCAACTTCACAGCAAAGGATATCATGCTCGATACAACACAAGATTGGATTTAAACTTCACAATGAAATATATCCAACTTAAAGCCAATTTGATGAAACAATACAACACAAGATTGGATTTCAACTTCACAACGAAGGATATCCAACTCAAAGCTCAACTTCACGGCGAATGAGCCACACACGATTTCAACTTCACGAAGAAGAATATTGTGCCCAATGGATCGACTTAGTGTCACAACAATTTGTCATCCATCGACCAGCCGTCCTGATCGCGTAGGAGTCGTGTCACCTCAGATAACCAGTCGTCCCCATCACGTAGGAACTGTTTTATTACCCTTAGATGGATTGTCGTCCTCATCGCGTAGGAACCATGTCATCACCCGACCTGATCTCCTCATCACGTAGGAGCTGTGTCACCTCATATAACCAGATGTCCTCATCACGTAGGAACCGTGTTATCACCCTTAGATGGCCTGTCGTCCTCATCGCGTAGGAACCGTGTCATCACCTGACCTGATCTCCTCATCACGTAGGAGCTGTGTCAACCCAGATAACCAGCCGTCCTCATCACGTAGGAGCTGTGTCAACCCAGATAACCAGCCGTCCTCATCACGTAAGAACTGTGTTATCACCTATAGATGGCATGTCGTCCTTATTGCGTAGGAACCGTGTCATCACCCAACTAGATATCCTCATCGCGTAGGAGTCGTGTCACCCCTTTGATAGCCAGTCGTCCTCATCGCGTAGGAACCGAGTTATCACACTTCCTAAAGATGGCCAAGAACTCTTCATCACGTATGAGTAGTGCCATCCCCTGACCAGATCTCCTCATCACGTAGGAGCCATGCCAACTCGTAGAAGACCAGAACTCTTCATCGCGTATGAGTCATGTCGTCCGCACAACAAAAACATATCAATTCTCCAAAACAAAAAAAGAAAATCGGACAAAAACTGGTTGTCTTTTTCGTCTTTGCCTTATTCTTGTTAACACAAGGATGTGCAAATAGGGGCAGCTGTAGACACCCGTTTTTGTCCGGGTCAAAAAATAGTATATAATAATTATTATTACTTAACCTAAGGCAACTAAATTATACCTAAACCACCAAATTAGCACCAAATCAAACCAAATACCCACCCAAATCCCACTTAGACCATTAAAACAATATAAAAATCAAACCTAACTCTACCACTACCCTTTACCACCACCATGAGGCAATTTGAAAAATTATAAATAGGAGGATGCAACCATTCGTTGAGGGGAGGAAGAAAAAATAAATTGGGAGACATATCGTTGGGTTTAAGGGCTAATAGCAGCTTTGGTCCTCATAGCTCTGTAATCTCACATGCATGTTCTTCAATGTTTGGGGTAAATCATAGTTTGGTCCCTGCCCTCATAATATCACCGTGTGTACACCATGCATATAATGAAATTATTTTCTCTTGATTCGATCCTCAAATTTTTCTTGTATTTCATTTTAGTCACTAATTATTAGTTTTGCCTTATTTTTATTTATTTACTTTTGAGATGATTATTTTAAATATTTTCATTTTTAGTCATTATAATTTACGTTTTGACCTGGCTTTTTATAATGTTTGCATTACGATCCATTAGTATATCTTTTATATATTCATTTCGTATGAATAGATATAATGTCTTATATCACAAAATTATGGGTGCTACTTGTATGTATTAATGTTATGTGCAGTATACTATATATATATATATATATTATTTTATGTGTAATATTATATGCTTAGTATGATCATTTTTCCCACGTTATGCATTTTATGTATATATGTGTAGACATTTATTTTCGTCCGGTGTTTTTTTATGTAGCATAATTTTTAATATAGCTTTTGAAAATATATAATATATAGTTTTTAAAATAATTTTGAAAACATATAATTATGGTTTATTTTATAATTAATGTTTAGCCCTTTTAGTTTTTATTAATATTATTTTAGTCTCTTAAGTTCACATTTTTATTGTTTGAGTCCTTTAAAGGATTGTTTTGTTATTTTAATCTTTCAAACTCATTTAAATTTATGTTTTTGCTATTTTAATCTTTTAAGTTCATGTTTTTAAGATTTATTGTGTTAAAGGATTTTCACTAATTAATTAATTCGAAGCAAATTAATCAATGTTCAATAAATGGATCATATTTTAACTTGATATTTGATTCAGAATTTCCACCATTACGACAATGCGTAAGCGACACAGTACCAATTTTGGGCGTTGTGGGGTGCTAATCATTCCCCACGCGTAACCGACTCCCAAACCCGTTTAATCGAATCTTTGGTAAACGCATACCAGTTTTTGTCTTAAAAAATTGATTTTTCTTAAAATTATTTTTAAAAGATATTTTTAGGTATTCGACCTACCTAACCCAAAGGTCGATGACGACTCTTTTCAATTTTATCCAATTTAATTCAAAATCACAATTTTCCAAAATTAAAATCATAACTTTTTTTAAAACAATAAAATAATTGTTTCACCTTAAAAAACTGTTATGACACTTTTTAAAGGAGAATTTAATTCAAATGACAATAGCATCATATATTAGTACATCATTTTTAATAAATTTTGAAATATAAAAAAATAAGGATTGTCCTCGATAAGGTTTAATGTGCAAGAGTGTCACTTAATTAGCCTCGCGATTAGTACAATAAACCTTGAATGTCTAATTATGCAAGGATATATACATTAAGAAACTTTCATTTTTGATAATGCAAAAGAAATTAAATATTAACTACGACCGAAATTATTTTTTATTAGTATTATTAAAATTATATTCTTAATATTTTGTAACACGGTTAATGATTTTAAAATAATTATATCAATCGTTGGTGGTAAATGCATTTCTATTTAAACAGAAAGTTGTGGTTAATAACAAAGTAACAATTGATCAGTGATGTTTGATATTCAAGATGTAAGGGAGAGATGTGAAGTGGAATACATTTAGAAGTAGTCAAAGACTATTTTCCTTATCTATCACTAGTGTTTATATATTGTTCTCTTATGTATATTGATGGAAATAAGATTATATTTTTAGTTGCGAATGGTTTAACTTTTTAATTTGAATGAAGAGTCACTTTTAATGATAATAGGAAGATTGATCCATAATGTTGATATTTAAAACGTAAGAGTTTGTCGTGAACTTGAATAGAATTAGAAGAAGTTGTTGAAGACCCTCTATTTATTGGGATCTATATATTAACCTCTTATGCATATTTATGTAAAATTTAAATCTATTATTATTATTAAAAAATAATATAGTGTGTAAACATAATTGTCGATCAATGAATTTGATTCACATAAATTTTATAATCATAATAATAGTTTATAATAGATCGAAATATAATACTAATTCATTGAAAATTTTGATATAATTGTGAATACAATACAAGCATTGAAATTGTATTTTTCTCATAAAAAATTAAAAAAAAAAGAAAGAAAGAAAATGGGAAAATTAGAATTTTATTAGGATAAGAGAGATTTTCACGGGGGCGGGAAATCTCAAATCGGTTAGGTGGGCCGCCACCTCATCCTTTGGGCGTCTAAACCTTGATTGTAAATAATAGAAGGATTTAGGGACATTATAGACAATTAATTGACCTGAGAAACATGCGCATTACGCACACCGCGTAAGATAACACTTTTGAGTACGTTTCAATTTAGGCGTTCCCAGTCTCAAGCTGCTCACGACAGGTTTCTCTTTTCCCGCTTCTTTTTTCTCCTCCCAATACGAGTGTTACTCTGCTAGTCTACCATTTCTCTTCAGTTTTTACAATTTTCTCGTTCAAAATCGCCGAGCAAATATGAAAATCCAGCGCTCTTTAATTATCAGGTGAAAGGTCACTCGCTAGAAATGACGTTTCTCTCATTTTCAATTTAATCTCGAATCGGATGTCTTTCTAAAATGTTATTTCACGTTTTCTTTTAGATCTAAATATAAATATAATGCGAAATTATGGCGCCGCTTTCTCATTGTTCGTGTTTTTGAATTTCAAGTTTCTCGTAGACTTCATATTTTTTTTACCTCTCTTTAGCTGTGTGGATTCAAATTAATGCTTTTTTTTAAAAAATATAATGTTGACGGTTTTTCTTGTGATTGGAAATTCAGGGTTGAGTGATTTTCGTTTCATATTTTTTTCTGTTGTGGCATGGGATCATAGATTTTGTGCTAAATATCTATTATTATTTTTTATGATTTCCTTTGAGATCTGATGATTTGGTGCTTCTTCCTTTGCTAAAGGATTTGGTTGGTTGGTGGGAAACAACAAAATCGGAGAGAAAAACAAAACGGTTAAAAACTTGGCATCTCATGAGAAATTAGAGATCTCCTAAGATTATATCTCGGACTGACTTGAACTACGAATTTGCGTTTTGCATTTCCCCAATAACCAACCAGAGTTTTAGACGTGTACATTTCTCTATTTGTTTCTTCTTTTAAACTTAAACGGTTCTCTCTACAGGTTGCTTCTAGTAGCAGTGTCTGAATTGTTCATTTCAAGATAAAATTGTGAGAAGGGAAGTTGACGCGAGGCAAAGCTTACGAGAAGTAAGTAGGAGACAATATCAGTTTCTTAAGCTTCATTTTCCTTTTATTGAATCATCTTGCCTCTTTCTTGCTCCAAGAGTTTGTACTCAATAACTTGTTATTTGCAATTTTTGTTGCTAGCATGGCCTGCTTAGCATAAATTTTGCTGGATAACATATTAGTTTTTCAACCTATGGCATTTTATTAAAGTAGTATGAGTTGGTACTTAATAGTACTTGATTAGTTTTGCAATTCTATTCAATTATGTGCATTGTTTGTCACGAGTAGATTATTTTCAAGTTATTGCAATTATTTGTTGGTGTTTTATCGGAATGTCTTAGTTATTTAATTTTGACACCTTTGAATAGGTTTATTCTTATATAGAGCAAAATTAATAGCAGTGATCTGTTTATACTTATATAGAGCAAAATTAATAGCAGCGAACTGATATTGTTGTTATTGCATTACTATTCCGGTAACTTATTGCAGCTCAAATAGCTGCTCTGGGAAATTTAGTGTTTGATCCCAGAAAATTTATTTTTCAGGATCGAATGAGTGACTGTCGAAGTTTTGGCAGCAATTTTCGTCCATCCAGTCAATCTAGAAAGATTTCAATTGGAGTTTTGGTAGACTCTTTAGCTAAGAGAAAACCTGGAGGGAACAAGGAAGATCAGGATAAACAGGCAAATGCAGAAAGAATCAAACCTAGCTTTGGAGTTTCCACAGGGGGAAAAGACAAAGGGGATGCTGTCAGAACTTCCAAGGGGAATCAAACTGAAGATAATGAGCAGGTTAAATCTCCATGGATTACTTTTAGATCCTTGCATAGAGAAACTCTTTCTCCAGAGACTGCCTCTTTACAAAAAGAAGCTTCCAACCCCAGAGAGAAGAAACTGAATACAGTGAAGGATGTTCCAGAAATAAGTTCATTTTCGTTTTCCCAAAACCAAAACATTAATGCACATAATGTTGGTAGCGAGCAGAAAAAGTTTGATGGCATCATTAGTGGCCAAGCCTACAAAAGGAAAGGCAGGAAGGATGACAACTCACAGAGGGTGGAGGAGTTCAATTGTGCAAATAAATGGAAAGATAAAGTGGAGTTAGAGCACAAGGCAGATAAAACTGAAAACATACAAACTGAAACTTTAAAAAAGAAGTTGCATGAGTTGTTCGCGACTGTTTCTTCACCAAAAAGTCAGCAATCTAGTTTACAGTCTCATAAGGTCGGTTCCAATAATTCAAAACAAAAGAGAAGTGCTGATCATGGGGGAGACACAGCTGTAAAGCACAGACAAAATTCAGTTGATGTAGAAATTGTTTCAGACAATCCTGATAAAACTGTTAAGAGGCCCGCAACCCATTCCTTGATCCAAAAGCGAGCTCCAGCAAAAGTGCAGCTTGCTAACTCTAAAATCAACTTATCCTCCAAGCAGAAACACGGAGATAACATCTTCTCTTTTGGAGAAGGAAGATCTGCAAAGCTAGATGGTGCTGTCAATAATGGCTCATTATTGCCCAGGCAAAAGAAAAATGAGAAGAAAAGTTCTAAAATAGATCCACATCAGATCAGTTCCCCTGAGGAGGAGACTGCAGATGAGATTGAAAGCCTTCCTGACTCTTCTAGTGAGAAAGGAGGAGAAAACTTAGAGAAGGTTCAAGAAAAGGAGTCTTTTCATTCTCCAATGCCAAACGAGACAAATGAGCGGGTGAATTTTGACAATCCAACATCACCAGGAAAATGGGATAAACAAGAAGATGATGGTAATATATCCTTGAGGAATTTTGCGCATGCACAAGATGATTTCCAAAGCCCAACTTTCAGGTTCAATACTCCTATTTTAAATACTTCTTCAAGCCCAACACCAAAAACGGTAGAGATAGAGCGAGGTACTTGTAGTCCTGTACCCTTTGAGAGAGGATTTTCCATAAGAAATATTGGGAGCTTCAGGAGTTTCCAAACTTCAGGACCTGCTAGTACTAAATCCAGTGCAGAAGCTCAGTCATCTGTATCCTTAACTATTCTTCAGAATTCTAATATAGGAGTTGAATAATGTCTAAACTTGAGCATTATATTTTCTGCCTTTGCCCTTCCTTATTGAGTTCCAGGATGATACAGAGAAGCATACTGCTTCTTCACTCAGGAACCGAATGCCTGGTAAGGAAACAATTGATGCAGTAAATGAGCATTCTGAACCGTCATCATCAGCATCAGAAGAGCAGTTCTCTGAAACCTTCAAAGATGGATCACCCATTATTAATAGATATGATCGTAAGTACATAAAATGCTCTTCGGAAACAGAAAATATGCATTCCTCCTTACTTTTATTAGGATATGATTTCCCAGTAGTTATTACTTACTTCTAAATAACCATTTTTCCTAAATAATCAATTAATGGGATGAGAAGAGTTCGTATTTGCCTTTCCAGCACATGGTAGCATTGTACCTGATTTATTACTGCTGATTAATTATCAATGGTTGTCTTTTCCAGAAGTAGAAAGATTGGAAAGTTGCAGTTTAGTTTTGTCTCTCTTGAGCTTCTTTATGATTGGACAGTCTGTATTTAGGGAAACTGTTCAGAGCAAAAATATATATAAAACCACTTAACCCTTGTGATTGCTGTTAGTTATTCTAATATCGTACCATGAATGATGTAACTATTAAATTCATGTTAACATATCCATTGGAGAAGAATTGTCGGTAATTTGTCTCACGAGGTTGTTGCTCCAAGTTTTTTAACTCTTCTTGTCTGTGTTTCTCAATTTGCATGCCAACTTAGTGTGTATTCCAATAATGTTTTGCATCAGCATAGATTATTCTTAATTTCATCTTCTTTTCTGATTTTTAAATTTTCCTTCTTAATGGATGCTCCTTTGGTTCTTTATCTGATGATATCGTCAAGGTCACAGAGAAAATCTGATCTCGCCAGAGACTGTTATTTCTGAGAAACCAAATTTTGAACATTGCCCAATCAAGCGGTTACGAAAGGAAGATGTCAAACTTAGTGAATTCATTCCCACATTACCCTCCCAAAAAGGCAAAGCTTCTTAATATTTGAACATCTAGTGCTCTTCTTATCCTCCCACCAGTTTCTTTCTAAAGAAGTTTCTTCTCTATTTTTCTTCAGAAGGGGCAGGCACTGGAGAAAGTTATTGGTTCCAGGAATCCTTGGAAGAGAACCAAGAAGATGAATTGACAAGGTCCTTATTAATATCTAAACAAAGATAAGGAGATACCTGCTGTTGCTATCTGTGGACTATCTTCATTGATTTTAGTTTTGCTTGGTTATGTTTCAGGGCTATTACATTGCTTGCTTTGGCTTTAGAATCATTTAAACGCAAAATGGACTCAGCTACTAGAAAGAAGTCCTCTGAGATTTTGATGTCCATTTCTGAGGAGATGAAGTCAATATTGCTGAAGGCCGAGTCTCAGATAGAATCTGATGTGTATGTATTTAAAACTGAAAGCTTTACTGACCCATCATATTGATACTTAAGCTTCGGTTTTCATACTCTTTCAGGGGGAAGATGACTAGTCTCGGTAAAACAAAAAGGAAACGTCTGGAAACAAGATTGCAAGGTGACAATTTTTTGTCATCTGATTAGCTTGATAGACTTCAATAAGATGCAATCGGTTCCTAATTGTATAATAAAAGTGATTATATGTATTAGTTTTTACCAATCTCGACGTTATAGATTAAGAGCCTCAACTGCCTTTCTACTTGTAGTTCACTGATCTGGCACAATGAGATACACTAGCCTTGGTGCTTGTATGTCTACTTTGGCAGCACATATATTCTTGAATTGTCTAAGCATCACATGCAAGGTTTTGTCTTAGAGGCATGCTATTAACATGTAGTTATGATATATTAGCCATCTTACTAATGTTTTTACCAAAAGGCATGTGTAGGTGTTATTATAATAAACTTGAGACATAAGTGCTATCAGTCTTAGGGATTCTCTGCATTTAAATTTTTATATTAGTAAAGTAACTGTCAAAGAGGCCTTGATGATTTTTCTTTTTGATTTGCCTTATTTTCTCTCAGAGCAACAAGAACAATTGAAGCTGATACTTGAAAAGTTCAAGGAGGACATCCATCATCATCTCTTGGATTGCAATAGTATCCTTGAAGGGATGGAATCTCACCAAAATGAACTAAAGGGAATCATGAAGAAACAAAGTATGACCACTTCTATTTATTTTGAATAAATTCCTTAATTGTGACTGCATTTTTTGCATCTTGTTTTCGTAGATGTTTTCTTTTAGCTTAGGAAGAATTGTGACTCCATTTGCTTCATAAGGAGAGACATGCTTTCGTTGTTGCTTGGTGGTCAATGAATTTTCATGAAAGTTTTCATTGGTGGTTATTGAGTAGTTTTATGTGGGATATTTCTAGGGACATCTGGGATTCATTAGGTTATTGATTGATTTTCAATGCATGGCACATAAATTACTTTTTTTCCATAGATTTTCTTGGATATGACAACATGGAGGGTATTGTGATGCTTCCCTGTTATGAACATTGGACTAAAGGAAATTTAGACTTAAGAAATACTGCGGTGTTCTAGGTCCGTCCCATTTAGCAGACGCACTTTGAAAATTCTGGCATTAGTGGTTGCGTTCATGAATATAGTATTTATGATTTTCACTTCCATATTCGAATATTCTATAATTATTTATTAGAGGCTTAAAATTTTAAAACCGGTTACATTACGAAATTAAACCACTAAATTAAAATTCAGAAGCAGCAAAGTGAATTCTTTTGGAAATTAGGCTTCGAATTATAGATATGGAATTATGTTTTGGCAGTCTTTTATTCACGTTTGTATCTACTATTATGATTAAACATATTGTGTATTTTGAATGCCTGCTGTGTCTCGTATTACAGAAGTGTCGCACCAGAAGCTTCTCATGCATGTGGAAGAAACAGCTAAAATCCAACTTAATAATGCTGAAAGAAGAATCACAGCTGTCCATGAGGCAAGTTCCAAGTTTCTGTTTATGTTAGTGGTAGCTTTTCCACAATTCAGGCACCATGTGTCATCCACAGATTATGTAGGACACCTACAATCCAAATGCTTGGGTCTGGAAAACATGTCAATACAGTTACCAAACCTTGGTGAGTAGGTTTAGATATATGAATTCGGTGCCACCAAACCATAAGTTCTGTGTGGGCATGGAAATCTATGCAATTGGGTGTAAAGTGTGCTTTTATGGAATTCTATCACCCATGACTACTCTTGAAAAAGACTATGACGATTAACAAGTTTATGCTGGGATCCTTGGATATTCATCATAGACCATTCATTTTAGCACTCAAATTCTTCATTATAATCTAGAAATCTTTGTTTTATATCCTGTATAACCTTCACGTTTTTAATCCTGATTTAATACAGTCGGCGAGGGAAAAGATGCTGCAGCTGAAACATGTAATTGCTGAGTGCTTGACTGGTATATACTGAACTGATAGAGGCCTGAAGATGGACTTGACATTCCTAAGAAGTAAGAGCTAAGAAGATTTGACTTAGAAAATTTTGCATGTCCAAATATCTTCGTGACACCTTATTCTACTTAGCTCTCGATTATTTACTTTCGTCCAATAGAACCTTATCTGTAATAGTGAATATCAACTTTTGGTTTGAGTGGCCTGTACTTTCCGGTCTTCATGTGCATGGTTCTCGAGTAGTGTTATAGATTTTAGTCTTATAGATATCAAAATGTAAAGAATCTCTTTGATTGCAGATAACTAGATTTATGGCCCGCAATGATAAGACTTTTTAAGATGATCTTTGGATGCAGAAAGCATTCTGGAGATTCTGATTAAGATACGTCATGTCTGTGTGGTAATACTTTGTTGGCTTTTATACCTGAGATGTTCCACTCGTATATTCTGACCAAGATTTGGTCGGTCTATCTTCTATGTTATTCGTAAACGAAGGAAAATGATGGTACAATTTTCTTTGTTGTTTTCCACTGTATATTTGCAGACATTTGCTGGGAGCGATAATCCCAGTAGTCTTATCGTTTGGCAACGTATTTATGGTCTTCAATTATTTAAATTATTAAGCATCTTTATGTCCAGGGGACTCTGATGGAGTTGGTTTCTTCATGTTTATCTAGACTCTATGGACCACAATCACGGCGAGAGATATCTTCAATTTTCCTCTTTCACCCCCCCCCCTTATTCCACCACTCCTTTATCTATGCCCCACTATCCGCTGTTGGGTGTGATATAACGAAACTGGTTTACCATCGTTGTCTTTTTCATCAGCATGGGAATTGGGACCAAAGAGAAGGAAAAAAAAAAGCAAACCAAAAAAAGGATAGGTTGAACACTAATAAAAGAGAGGAGGGGAGGAAATTTCTGGGGCTTCTCAGGCAGACAAGCCAGTGTTGAAAACGAAAGACTTTGGAATTTGGAGCGTATTTAAATATGGGATTAGGTTCTCCAATTGACAAACATTTAATGTTTGTTGAGTTTAGGGATTTCATTATAGTCACCATTGTTGTGGTGGCCTCCCTCGCTCCTTAGCACTGCCGCTGTCTGTCTGGTTTTCCTCCAGATGATTGGCCTCGATTTTGTTTCGTCCACCTTGTTAATTGCCACCTGGAAGAAGAATATCTCAACCCAAAGAAAAGAATATCTGAAGTTTATGTTTTGGTCCCTTTATTATGCATAAAGTTTAAATTCAGTTATATACTTGAATTTAACACTTAATTAACGAGCACTAATAACTGCAGTATGGTGATTGAACGTTTTTTGTCAAATGGTTGAGAGTATTTAGAACATATACTACTTTATAATTACTTTAGCTCAATTAAAAAAACACTTAATTAATGATTTCCTTCGAAGTATATTCGTTTTTAACTTTGCACCCTAAAGTATTTTTCTCAACTCTTTAAAGATTTTGTTTATGGTAAAACTATAATATTTTATGTAATAATAATATCTCAAAAAAATATTAATATTTAACAATCAAAATTGATCAAAATATTTAATCAATTCAATTTTTAGTTAAAAAAATTAATTAATTTTTTTAAAAGTTTGAGGGCTTTAGGAATCTTTAAGCCAACAAGATATGAAGATTGATCTTAAAGTTGAGTATAGGAGTGAAGTACAATTTTGAGCAAAAATAAAGGTACAAAGGCAAGAAAGCATAGGGGCACGTGAAGCATAAGGTTGGTCACGTGAAGTAGACGCTTTCTTCTTCAAAAATTGGTCTGCCAATGCTATAGTATGGAAGGGTGAGTTAGTAGTGAAATGGGTAGTCCACGTGGGAGTGTGGGTAGTCCACGTGGGAGTGTGGGTAGTCCCCGGCCCCCCAGTCCACGTGAGTGAGTGTCTTAGATTCCTTGGTCTTTTACTCTTTTGTCTTCCTCACGTTTTTGAACATTCACTTTCAAGTAAAAACGATCCCATGCTTATTCTCATCTTACCATTTTGGTTACCGAATATAGGGGTGTCTAAACTTTGATTAAAATCTATTTAGTCGATCGAATCAAATTTTTTTAATTAATCGGTCAGTTAGTTTTAAGTTTAGTCAATTAACGGTTATTTTTTTTAATTTCAGATATATATTATTCAATTTCGAAATCAATTGATTAGTTGAATTAATCGAATTTATTAAATTTTTTCATATATTATTTATATATTAGTGTGTTTAAAATTTGGTTTTAACCAAATTAACCGAAAATATTAAATAATTTTTAAAAAATAAAATATTAAATATATATAATATATGTTATTTATATATTTCGGTTAACCGACCGATTAGTCGAACTTTGTTCAGCTTGATTAATTATTTTTGAAAAAAATTGGTTTAGTAAACAGTTAAAGGGGGAAAATTTTTGGTTAATGAGTGAAAGTTCGATTCGGTCGATTAACCGAACCGACCGATTGAACACCCCTAATCGAATACAATTATTATTCCTTTGAATATATGGTCATATTAAAAATTTAAGTGAGGAGTACGATTTTAAAAAATTATATCAAAAATTTTAAAGACGTGAAAATATATTATCGATGAAAAATATATAAAATTTTAAATTTTAAAGTACCATCACATTTCTAATATCCTTTCAATCTATGTATACTTTTAATCTTTATAATTTTAATTAAATTAATATTAATAATTATGAAAACTGGATTGAATAATTATGAAATTTATCAAAAAAAATTAAATTTTCATCAATATTGGATTAGTTAGAATCCCATAAGATATAATTTTTTTTATGAAGTAAATTCTTTCGATATATAGAAGGAAACAAGAATAAAATATATTCTTAGATTCTCGTCTGAAATTTTATTTGAATAAACCGTTGACGATGGGAATATTTTTTCTATCAGATCAAAAAAGGTAAATTGCATAAATTATCTTTGTTGTGTGTGGTGAAAACGTAATTCATCGCCTTTAAATGAATAAAAATGTGTAAAAATCGCAAAGCTTGGGTCGAGAGAAACACAATATTTAAGTATTTCAGCCACATTTGAGAATAAAAGATGAATATATAATTTATTAACATTATATAATTTTATACATTATTAATAAAATAAATAGTTGCATTCATTAAAAATTTAAAATCATTTTTAATTAAAAATATATTTATTATTTATAGTTACTTTTAAATAAAAAGAATTATGTGATTAATATGTATGTACACGCTCTAAACTGTTTCTAAATATGCTGATATATTTTATAACGGCAAAACTTTCGAGATAATGTTATGGAAAAAATTAATTCACGAGATAAAGCACTCCCAAAATTAATTGCTCAAATAAGGTGAAATCCACAGTGTTGGCCGTAGATCGCCATGCCTTCCGGGCGACCTACTAGGTCGCCATGTCTTCCCGGCGAGCTACAAGAGATTGCATGTGCCATGCACGTCCCAACACGCTGGGCATCCGAGGCCATCTGACCGAGGCCATCCGAGGCCATCTGACCGAGGCCATCCGAGAGCATCCGAGGCCATCCGAACGAGCTATGCGAGGGCATCCGAGGGAAACCGAGCGAGCTATGCGAGGGAATCCGAGGGAAGCCGAGCGAGGGTAGGTCGCCCGGAGTGCATGGCGACCTACAAGGTCGGCCGGAGGGCATGGCGACCTATGTGTTGGGATGTGCATGTGCCATGCAACACGTTCATTCTCACGTTCATTCTCTCTGTTTGAGCAAGGATAGGTCGCCCGGAGTGCATGGCGACCTATAAGGTCGCCCGGAGTGCATGGCGACCTACGGCCAACACTGTGGATTTCACCCTATTTGAGCAATTAATCTTGGGATTGCATTAGCTCGTGAATTAATTTCTTTCATAGCATTAACTCGAAAGTTTTGTCATTTTATAACTATGAATGAAGATGGAAGAATTTTTAATTATATGGAATTTTTGGGATAAAGAGGCGTTGCGTAAAATCCCACAATTCCGGTGGTCCCAACACTAGGCTTCGTCGGTGGTGGGGGCAGTAAACGTGGCCGAACACCATTTATTTTAAAGATTACAGAAAGCTTAAATTTTGTGGACGCCCCCCATTTCCCATAAACTAGGAATCTTCCATGATATTATATCACTCCTGTCTCATAATAATTCCCCAAACAACTGCCTATTTTCATCAAAGCCTATTATCCGGTGCTTGATTTGATGCTCTTTCTCGGTGTTGGTCGTCTTGTTTTTCTGACGGCTTAACTGCTCAACTTGTCGGGTTTTCTTTTAGATTATCACTCACGTCAACTCCAAATACTTACTGAATCTCACCCTTCAATGGCAGAAAAACACAAACTCGAATCAGTTCCTCCGAGGATGACGAGTCACTTGCGTAATTTACCATCCACGTACGTGTCTATACATACATAATATATAGCTGAACAGTGTGTTTTTCAATGTGTTTCGTCTGATCATTCTTGTTTGCAGGTGTGATCCTGATGCGGCGGAGCTGGTGCAGGAGAATGGTCGAATTTTGATTCGGGGTTTATCGTCCAAGAAACTCGGAAAGAAGAACATAGCTTGTCTGCAAACCCGGTACCAGGAGCTACGATTGCCTGAATTATACGAGGATGGTTACGATAAACGACTCGTGGATTTAAATATTGTTGCTTCAAACAGACTCAACGTGCCCCAGATTGAAGAAGACGACATTATTCTTCAGCAAACCATGAATAACGATAGGCAGGTGCCTCAATCTTGCTACAAGCAATCAAAGGAGAAAATCAAACCAAGGGTTGATGAGAAAAGTGAAGGGATGAACTTTTCAATCTTCTTAAGATCTCCAGCTCTTCAAAAATCTCACCAGATTCCGAGCTCTGGTACTCCAACAAGAAACAATTCTTTTGAAAAAAAATCCATGGAGAAAGAGTGGGTTCCTGATGAACAATCGGAAGCCGCTCCAAGCAAAGGCTCAAAGAGAAAGAGAAAACCAGAAACTCACAGCCTATCTGAAAGGGTAAGCTCAGCCAAATCCAACATCTAAAAATATATATTCAGGTTTTGTAGTAAATTGAAATATATCTAATTTTTAGCAGAGAAGAAGAGATAAAATCAACAAGAAGATGCGTGCATTGCAAGAACTCATACCCAACTGTAATAAGGTGGATAGAGCTTCGGTGCTTGATGAAGCAATCGAGTACTTGAAAACCCTTCAGCTTCAAGTTCAGGTTAGAGCCTTTGGATATCGTTCCTTGGATTGGATCACTAAATATAAAAACATGGCTTAATAACAATGGGATCTTGCTTCCAACAGATGATGTCAATGGGATTGGGAAGTAGTGGTGTTTATATGCCTCCGATTATGTTGGTTTCGTCGATGCAACATATAAATGCACAGCCTTTGGGTGGTTGTTATTCTCCCATGGCTGTCGCAATGCAAATGGCACAGTTACCGTCGACATCTTCACTAATTCCGGCGATCAACCAAGCTAGACTCAACATGCTTGGCTTCTCTGGTCAGGTGTTATTAACGTCCATGCCGCCATCGCCATCACCTCTCCTATCGTTGGCTGCTGCGAGATTTGCCCAACTACCGGTCCAGACCCCCGCCGTATCCCGAGCTAATGCCGCCGCAGCCGCTGCCGCTGTTACTTTGTCTACATCGATGGATTGGAGTCTCACACATTAACTCGAGAAACAACTACTGATGACGAGAGTTAGCAAATCAATTCTGAAAAGATGGAAACAATGCTTAAGGTCTCCTTACTCGCATCAGGTTACAGTTTTGGATTTGTTTTCTCTTAATTGATATGAATTTTTTTTGTTGAAAATAGATTTTCATGAAACTTAAAGTGAAAATAAAGATTGAAAGAAGAGATTAACATGTAAATAATTCGTGCAGGAGCCTATAATTTAATCAATTTTGAGCTTGCGGACGAGCTTTGAAAACTAAGAATTAAGCAAGGTGAAGATTTCAGATCAAGTGTTTTTAATTTCCAAAAGAAAATGGGTCCACTAGTGGTTGATTTGCAGCAGCTTCCTTCTTTTTTCATGTAATTATACGAAGACATATAAACTTCATGTTAAGACTACTTTCTTTCCAACATAAAAGTTCATCACGCTGAATATAGATATACGTGGGGGACAAAGTAGCAGTATATCCTTTTTAGATTTGAAGGTAGCTTTTCATGAATCATTATTCAAGCTTTCAAAAAGAAAAGTTCATATACATATTTTAGGTTAAGAATAATCGATTATCTATAAAATTGTTATTTTATTTGAAAATAAGATAATTTCATTTGCGTTTAAATTTAAGGTCAAAATTAAGTTTGAGATTTAATTATACAACATTTCATTTTTTTAATAATACGTAGTGATTACAATTTACAAGTTAGTATCTTATCAGCATCTTTCTTAACTATTGACACCACACCTTACACACGCTCCCTTTAACTATTAAAATCACTTAATGGTTACTTTATGCATAAATTAAGTCATTTTGACACCTATAAATTGATATTTTATTAAAAATATATGTTGTTAAAATTTTTAAAATGAATGTTAATGATGATAATAAACAATGTTAAAACAAATAAACATGTTAAAATAATAAATACATAAATAATATTAAATAGCAAAAAATGTTCTTTAACATTTGATAAAATAACTTTTTAGTCTTATTCTTTTTAGAATATGTTTTACCTCAATATCTCATTTTAGAGTAAAATAATACATGATTGAATAGAAATTGTTAATCGACTAATGTTCAGTACTTTAATATGACATATTTTAAACATATGACACATGTCATATCACTATTAATATGCATATGACATATGTTACGTCAACATTTTATTTACATAAGTTTTGTCACGATAGTGAAGAGCATTGATTGCTATTCAACTAACAGTCTCCTCATTATTGTATTCATGAATGGATTAAGAGGGTTCTAAAGGGCGATCGCACTCTTAAAAATTTTAAATTCTTATACAATTTAGATTATTTATTTGTATTTTCTTTGGATGATTTAACCCTACTGTATGCATCTAACCTACTATATTAACGTAGGAAGATTGAAGTACAAATCACATCATCCCAAAAACACCCATCATTGGGCATTGCTTAGTAGGAGCCCAGGTCGTTAACACATATAATCCGTTTATGTCGAGGCAACCTGCTGGTGTAGGTTTCTAGTAGCTTAGCTTCGGCGTTTATAATGCGGCCCTTCAGCTGGTAATCGACTCTTCTTGGGCCTTTGATGCAAATCCAATGGGAAAAAAGCATGTAAATTATTTAAAGTTTTGATGATCGATTGGGGGTTAAATATGTTAATCCCACTTGTAATTATGTTTTAATTTCTTCCTTCTCATTAAATTCAATTTCTCCATCATACTTTCAGTCTCTATATATCAGTTAAAAGCATAAATGGAGCAATTATATTTAATCGGTTGATTAAGTTATTCATTTTTATTTCCTTATATTCTCTTTTATTTTTTAACATTTCATCTTTAATGTTAAATAAAGTTTTAAATTATGGATTGGTTCCACACACAAAAAATAGAGCATGCCTATTTCAAAAATTATTATCTTAGCATGTAAATTCTTTTGCGTTAAATGTTATTTTAGCTCCCAAAGTTGTACATGGTTATTATTTTGGTACTTGTAATTCTCTAGTTCAATTTGATACCTAAAGTTATAAACCGTTATTAGGTTAGTTCAACCAGAAATTCTTTAAAATAAATTAAATTAAAAAAGTTCTCAATTTTTAAATATATATTTTTTAAATACTTATAAAAAAATCCAAAAATTATAAAAAAAAATGCATTCAATCAATTACATCTCATAAAAAGGGTTGTTATGGTAGAAAAGCAATGTTAAGAGCTTAAAGCATATGATGATTTGGATTCTAAAACGATAAAGATAAGGTCACATGCTACAGGTTAAGCTTAAAACCAATCTTAAATTTAGTGTTAATACATGACAAATGCATGTGCTTATGTCGCCTCTAATGCTAAGGGGGGCCCTGCTTTAGTGGGATACACACCCATTAAAGGCTCACCCCTGAATAGACCCCTCCCTCATTGCCAGGACCTCTCAATTTATGCACACATAAGAAACAACTTAAGTGCTTCTCCTCTGCTCAAAAACGAATGTAGGGCAACCACTAAACAATTTATTACTCTTGTGATCTTATACACACAATTCGATATAATTATTTATTCAGAATCTTTTTTAAACATTGATAACAATTATACACTCTATAAATATAATTATCTGAACTTAAAATCTTTAAAAAATAATATTTTTTATACTATTAAAATCACTCCTGAAATAAATTTTACTTGGTAGAAGAAAGAGAGTGGGACATTATGGGTGTAAATTGTGTGCAAACCCTTGGACCGTTGACATCAAGTTCATGGTGACAAATTATTACAAGGGAATTTTAATGTGGGTTTTAGCACGTCTAATCCCATTATCACAAAGGGGGTTGATAGTTGATCTTTCTTGTCAATTGGGTTGTCACCCCTTTCGGACAGAGATGGGTTAAAAAAAGATGATTATTTATTTATTTTTGTTTCAAAGACACAAAGATTATTATGTCCATTTTGTTATTTTCAAACTGCTTGTTGATTCGTAATTCTTGTGATGAATTATTAAGGGTTTTTTTTTTATCATTTCAGTGTCTTTTCGAGATTTTTATGGACAGAAAATCTTTTTCTTCCGCAACACATTCATGCATCCAAACGAAGCTTAAACTAAGTTCATGTTATTCTAAGGTATGATAGAATATATAATTATGTAGATCATTTGCTTTCGGATTGACGAAAGAGAGAGAGGGAAAAAATCTCAAAGTACGTGACATGTGTTACGTTGCATCCAATATTATCATTTATTCTCACAATTTATAATTTATCGTTATGTTATCGTCACAATTTATGTAGATAATTTTTCTTTGGATTGATGAGTAGTGAAATACTGAGAATCCTTATCAATAATGCTTTTTTGTCAAAAATAAAATCTATTTACCTGAGTCTAAAAATAATTCGAACGATGAGCTTTACAAATTTAGTAGCACACATCCCCTCTACTATATGTCATACAATTCATAAATATTACCAAGTGAATTTGAAGCATAAAGATACAATAGAAATGATCTAGATAAACTTTCAAAACTTAAACCCTCTTTAAACCTTCAAGATAGCTTCACATCATCCTTCGGAAAAGATGGTTAACTTTTTTTAAAAAAACTCCATGAATTAGAGATGCTAAACCTTATCTTCCTTAATCTTGAATGATTGAAAATAATTAAGAAGATTGCCCTTTTGAATGAAAATGCTCTTTGGAAGAGAAGATGAAATGAAGAGATTGGTGAGATCAAGGGAGATTGTGAAATCACCAATTTCAGCTTTTGACCCTAAACAAGGCCAAACAATAGAATTAAATCTGTCTTAAAATTGGGTTTAATTATCCTTGTAGTGCTTCTTATTTCATTCTCAATTCAAAAATCTTAATTTTATACTCAATTGAACTGAATCCTCACCGGATTAAGTCTAAACATGTCCTAATAAATTCGATTGCTCTAATAAATTTATTCATCTATGATTGTGATTCGAGTCAACACTTTAACGTTAACTCAAAAAATTAGATCGTCACACAAGCATCTAACATTATAAGTAGATATTAGAGATTAGGGTTAGATGTGAGTTGATAAACCCTTATATCATACATAGCTATAATCCTCTTATACTCACTTTTTTTTTACATAGTAAAATTTCTAATGTTCTTATTTTCCTTTTATTGTTATTTTACTATTGTTTCTATTATAATTATCAACATCTAGTATTACAATGTAATTTGAGGAGGTCTAACGCAACCAATGATATATATATATATGTACTTTTAAAAGATGAAATCAATCATTTTAATTTGTTCTTTGTTCTTTCTTTAAAAACAAGAAGAAGAAAAAGCAGCATATTCCATGTTTCAGTTTTTCATTTCTTTGTCCAAATCATCACCATTACGGAACAACCTTGTTGAAAACAGCAAATCATATTTGACAAGGGTCAGATCCAATTACATAGTGTAAAACTTTTTAATTTTACACATTTTTAGAACCGTTAGATGAAGAAAAATTCATTGCTGAGATTAATAGTAGGAAATGTGAAGATATTCATTAGAAGAAGAAAAAAACAATGAGTTAATCTCAGCCTTTGATTTCCCCTCATCCAACGATCCTAAAAATGTATAAAACTAAAAGTTTAACCCTAGGTGTAAGTGGATCCTAACCCATTTGACAATATATATACTTATAAATAATAAGTTAATTATTTTGGTAAAGATAAATTAAAAGATGAAATATACTGGCCATATTGATTTTCATAAATATTTTTTTGAACAAATTTATTTTCATAAATAAAATTAAGAAGAAGCAATAAGTAAGCATATTCATGGACCGGGTGATTTGTTTAGCATAATTTAAGTCAAGATTGAATTAGTGATATTTTTATCTCAAGTTAGCTCAACCCGAATTGTTTTTTTTAATATATCGAACTAAATATTAAATAATTAGAACTAAACCCACACCTAATGAAATTTAAACTTAAAATTTTTAAATATACTGGTAATAATAATACTTGGATCAGTCTTCAATCTTTTTATATCTTCATATTTTGTCTTTCAACTCTTTTTTTTTTTCTCTTTTTCATTTTCCATGTTTTATTTTA